CGGTTTGGTGTTTTTCAGTCTTCTGTTGGATACCTTTTTAAGCAAAGGTGTTCATCAATTTGTCTTGAGGGAAGAAGTGCGGTTTCTTTTGCTCAATTCCATTCCAGAACTTTACATTGTTACAGCCTGTGACATGTCTCCTCTATCGCTGCACAAGATGACCAGACTGACTGCCCTGACCAAGATGTTTCTGCCTTGGTGGTTGAAATCTCCTGCATTTGACAATGGGGAAGTTGTTTCTTCCCATAACATGGAAGATTGACATAACTGTAGCCAGTCTTGTGGGATGGGGCAGTCTCTTGGATCATCTGTCTGTTCAGGGTTGTTTGGTCTCGGGACGTATCCAACCTTGCGATCGGTGTCTTAACGAAAAATTGAAAGAAAAGTGGGGTTTTGAAAGCACCGAAATGACAACTCCAAACAACAATATACCGTAAAAAAAAATATAATTTTAATAGTTATAATTTAAAAAAGCTAGATAGTATAGCCAATTCATAAAAAGCAATCCGCTGAGTAGATAAGTCCCCTATATGCTCACTCCATTAACAAAAACCTTCCATCCAGAGTATAGATGTTTTAGAGAAAACATGATTTGCATTTGGATAGCACATAAAAGATAATAAACATGATCAAAGTAAATTAATCAGATGTCCAAAATTCATAGTAACAATAACATAGATAATAATCATAAGGTATGAAAACAATGCAGGAAGGGTTTAGGAGTGGGGCAAAGTTTTTTGCTCCACTAACACAGCCCTACATGCAGAGTATGACCTTTTAGTGAAACCATAATTCAAATAGGAGGATATTGAACATGATCTAGATTCAACACATAAAGGTATAACACATGATCTACGTTAAAGCAAACATCATAATGGGGATAACATAAATAATTATCATGTGGTCAAACAGTAATGGGTTTGGAGTGGAGTAGCAGTTTCAAAGTTTCGCACACATCTGCGCTTCTTCAGGAAGAGGGAATATCTGTATCATTTAGAAAAACAATATACATGATCTGTACAATTGTTGTTCTCTTTGTGGAAAATGAATTGGGTAGAATTCTCACCTACCCGTTTGCAGAAGCTGGTGTATGTGTGTCCCCAAGCGGGCCTATCCGGGCAACACACCCATATGGCCCTCCCTAGTGACCAAGAGAGCCAAGGTGGGAACCAAGCAACCCAATATTGAGCAGGAGGTGGGCAACACAATGAAAGCCTGGGATAAATACATGAGAGGCATGGTCACGTATCCACAATGCATAAATGTGGTGGGAAGCATCAATGCATAGTGGGGGAGCAACCCCCATTCACTTAGAAAAGTCAATATACCCTAAATGGGAGAGGTCTCTAAGCCACTTAGTTTATCCTAGGGTGTTCGGAAAAGGAGAGAAGAAGCAGGGAGGAGAGACCGTCCCGTCTGTCCCCCGAGAAACTATCCAGACGCCTCCGGGCCACCCACATCTAGTGCCGCCGCCTCCAGGCCGCATACTGATGTTGGTGGCTTACGTGGGCGCAATAACGGCATCCGGCGCAGTGACGTCAGAGGTGTCACCGCGCCGTCCGGGGAACTCCACTCATTCATATAGCCCTGTACGAGCCGTCTATTGGAAATGACAGGCATCCCTCCGCTGGTCAAACAGGACATGATCGGCTACACAGGCTAGGCAAAGGACTGAACAGGATTAGCTGTTCATAATGAAAAAAGCAAATAGAGGCTCCATATTCAGGGGGGTCCCCAGAAAACTGATACCGGCCATCCCTGGTGTCCTGGAATTGGGGGCAATTCGTCTGGCATTGTTTCATTGGGCTTCTCTAATGTCTGGGTTAGAGCTGCAACAGTTAATCGATTTAGTCGATTTAAAATCGACGATTGAAAACGTTGGCAACGTTTTCGATCGTCGATTCGTCGGCTATCAATTGATTTCCCTGTTCGGGGCTCTACACGCGGCCTGAAGCACACGTCACACGCTGCTCACGTACCGCTGCGCCCGCCGTGCTCACAGGACACCTCCCACCGCACGCTGCTCCCGCCGTGCCCACAGGACGCATAAGCCACGCCCACCGCTGAAGCCTGTTCGCGGCTCCACACTCAAGCCCCGCACGCAGCGCACGCCACGCCCACCGAACGCGCACGCCGCAGCGGTCCAGCTCCCGACGCTCCTCACATCTAGCCGGGCCGATCACATGACGGGTGCCGGGGATGTGAGCGTGACGGGTGTCAGCCGGGGGACGGAGACTATGGCTGGGGACGAGCCGGCATCTATGGAGGGAATGCTCAGACAGTAAGTGCCCCGACCCCCCCCCGGAGCCTGGGACCCAACACTGTGCACCCCAACCCACCATCATACCCATCCTCTGCACCCCAACCCACCATCATACCCGTCCTCTGCACCCCAACCCACCATCATACCCGTCCTCTGCACCCCAACCCACCATCATACCCGTCCTCTGCACCCCATTCCACCATCATACCCATCCTCTCCATCCCTTCACTCCATTCCATCATTATACCTGTCCTCTCCATCCCTGCACTCCATTCCACCATCATACCCGTCCTCTCCATCCCTGCACCCCATTCCACCATCATACCCATCCTCTCCATCCCTGTACCCCATTCCACCATCATACCCATCCTCTGCATCCCTGCACTCCATTCCACCATCAAACCCGTCCTCTCCTTCCCTGCACTCCATTCCACCATCATACCCGTCCTCTGCACCCCATTCCACCATCATACCCGTCCTCTGCACCCCATTCCACCATCATACCCGTCCTCCCTATTCCTGCATCATATCCGTTCTCTCCAATAACGCCAGCTATAGAGGAATACATCAGATCCCAGCAATAATACATTATAGTATAATGTACTATTGCTGCAATTTGCTGCATTCCGCTATAGCTGCTGGTATTCTGCACTGTGCCGCTTTATAATGTACTATATTGCACACCACACTTTTTTTTTTACTTCCACCGCTCCAAGCTTGCTCCCGTGATGGACTACAATCTCAATACAAACTAGTAGTCCATCACTGGAGACTTTTTTTTTTTAAATCCGATTAATCGATTAATCGAACTTAATAATCGGCTAACTAATCGATTATGAAAATAATCGTTAGCTGCAGCTCTAGTCTGGGTGTCCAGTTCAGATTCAGTCAGACAATGCCACAGCGGTTGCCTACATCAGTTGCCAGGGAGGTACCAGGAGTGTGTCGGTAGTGACAGAATTACATTCAATCTTGTCTTGTGCGGAACTTTATGTTCCAGCCATTTCAGTGGTGAACATCATGGGAGTTGAAAACTGGCTGGTGCATTTTCTCAACAGACAACGTATAGATCCAGACAAGTAGTCTTTCCATCCAGAGGTGTTTCAACAACTGTCACTGCTGGGGAATGCCAGATGTGGATCTTTTAGCTTCTCGCTGCAACAAGAACATAGAATGATTTGTATCCAGGGCCAGGTATCCAACTGTGTATGGGGATGATGCCTTGGTGTCTCCTCGGGCTTGGTACTCCCTGATATACCGGTATGCCTTTCCTCCACTGACACTGTTACTTCGTCTGCTTTGCACGATAGAACCCGAAGGAGTCTGTTATTGCCATCGCTCCAGATTGGCCTCGCAGGGTGTGGTATAACGACCTGGTTCATCTGTTGGCAGACAATCCGTGGTTTGTTCCAGATAAGCCAGATCGGTTTATCTCAAGGCCCAATCTTCCACCCTGCTTCTCTGTTGCTGACTTTTATGACCTGGCTGTTGAAACCCACTTCCCTTAGATATTCGGATTCTTTGTTTGTTCTACCAGAAGGTACTAGAAAAGGTTGCTCAGGTTCTAGATCCACTATAGCTAAGTGGATTCATCGGGTTGTCTTTCAGGTTTATGATTTGCGGGATAAGGTACCTCTCTTTTCTGTTTCTACTCATTCTACTGGGCATTTCAGAGTTAGCCTTCTGTTGCTCAAATTTGCAAGACCACAACTTTTTAAAAAATAATCTTTATTAACAAATTATTTTTTCCCAAGACCGGTCTTTTGTTCACACTAATGCCAAAGTTTTATAAAATTGATGTTGCTGCCTCCTCTGATGCTAGTTTTGGCAGAAATGTTCTTCAGGCAGCTGTATTTATCTGATGGTTCTCTTTTTATTGACCTGTTTTTTTTAATTGTTTTAGTCAGCTTTTGGACATTCCTACCTTTCAGAATTCTTCCCAGACAATTAAGAAAATAGGATTTTGTTGTTACCATAAAGTCCATTGTGGGACACAGCTCCCTCCCCTCAATCCTTTGTACTGCCTGATGCAGCTGGCAGGTGGGAGAAGTTTTGTCCTTTTAAAGTGTCAGGCTTTTTATTTTATTTTTTGCCTACTGTCTTTCTCCTGGAGGCAGCAGCATAACCACGCATCTCAGAATTATTCAGAGCTGTGTCCCTCAGTGGACTCCGAGAAAAGGATTTTTTCGGTGAGAACAAAATCCTATTTCTTTTTGGCCCAATTTAACTTGCTTAAAGGAGAACTATGAGGCAAGTGCTTTTCACTCACCTCATAGTTCTAGCCGACCTGTGACAATGAGACTGCCACAGGTCGGCTTAGTAGATCGGGAAGTGACCGAACACGTACCGGCGTTCGCTCACCTCCCGATCCTGTCACGGCTCTCTGCCGTGACAGGGGAGGGGCTGGATTCCCCCCTCCCCGCTCCAATCTGCCAGCGGGATCCGCTTCAGCTGCGGCGTCTCAGTATACCGCGAGCTGTAGCTCACGGTATACTGAGCTTAGGGTGCGGGAGGACGCTAGTTTGTGTCCTCCCATTACCCTAAGGAGAACTATTCGATTTCAGGCCATTTAGCAAAAGTTAGGTCATGTCAATGGCTTATGTACTATACTATACTCATCTAAACCATTAGGAGCTGGCACAGAGTGGGGAAAAAAGAAGAAAAAGATGTTCGTTCATTCATACAACATTGTATTTAAGCTTTATGTTTTCTAATGTAATCTGGAACAATATGACATTCTGTTGTCTTCCATACAGCACTGCGATATGTTTATCAGCCGTTTCAGCAGCCAAACCCTACCACACGCAGTACATCTTTTTAAAGTAAAGGGCAGTGGGTCTGATCCTGCCCAGAGGGACAAGGAATTTTGGGCTACTCTTCTTGAATCACCAGGTAAGATGCTTCATTCCCTTTTTGCATTGGGACATTGGTTTGTCAACTGAAATATTGAATCACAGCTGATAGATCTTGTGACCACCCCACATGTCAATCATCTATTAGCTATGAGTAGTAAAGTACAGTTCCTGTTTCTGAAACTTTTAATCATAGTTTACCTTCTTTCTCTAAGGAACTGTTCCTGGTTATGTCGCCCCAGAAATATTCTCCTTCCCTAGTCGGACAGGATTTACCCTCTATGGCATGATGTATCGGCCTCATCAGCTACAGCCGGGGAAGAAATACCCTACTGTCCTTTTCATTTATGGAGGACCGCAGGTGAGACTATGTGTAAAAAGCTATATTTGAAGCAAGTTTTTTCTTTTTAACTGATTAAAGACATCGGGCCTCATACAAAAAGGGACATGCTGCATATTTGTGTACATAGCATATACATCTTATGCAGGACACAGTGTACAGAAAATGCTAATTCTAATTTCACAGTTGGACAATAGGAACTCATGTCTAAGGTCACACAATTCGAGTACACTACTATCCAATAATATTAAACTGTTTCTTACAGGATTATAATATATGGCTTATTTTGTCTGATAAGTTAACCCTCTAAAAGCCTTGCAATAGTAATCCCTCTCATGTGGGCCTGAATAGAAGCTTTAAAAACAACATTTAGTCTTGGTGTTGGTGCAGGTTAACCTCTTGCCGTCCGCCCGTAGAAAAAAAAACGGACGGACGGCACTGCTGCATCTGCGGGTTGCCGGGTTTTCAGACGGCAATTTTTTTCTGCTCGCGCGCGCCCCCTAGCGGGCACGCACGGGCAGAAAAGACCCGATCAATGCACACACCCGTTACCGGGTGTTTCACATATAGGCGATCAGCGGGTCCATAGCCCGCCGATCGCCTATATGTGCTCGTTCGCGGCA